TATTTATGTTCCAGCTTAAATTCTCACAACTTTAAATGTTTGCATAGAATGTAAATGAACAGACATCAAATCCAACTTTAAGGCCAATATCAGAGCCAATGCTGACACTTGTATATGCCTGTCTTTACTTGGATATTATGTCCTACTGAAAGAAAGATTCACCTGGCAAACAAAGAAATAACTGTTATCAATAGTTGTCAGGTTTGGTGGAAGTTTTGCTGATTTAATAAAAAAAATGCAACAGAAACAAAATCCAAGAACCAAAATACAGGAAACCAAAAACCAGGAGACATCAGGGGAAAACAATATGGTGAGCCAAGTAACAAGAAACCAGCAATGAGGAACTGTAGAGGAGGTATGTGGGGTACAGAACAGAGAATAGGCTAATGAGCTGATATGGCATAAGTGTAGATAGAAGTAACTAGAAGGGAGCTAGGGGAAAGGAAACTTGCACAGCGGGGAACAGAGAGTAACTCAAAAATGCAACACAGCTTAAATATAACAGAAAATGGAAAACAAAACCAAAGATCAACAAAACAGAATGACATCAATAACTGAAAACTCATAAAGAAACTTAAATGGAAGTCCGAAAGGGGAGAATCATAACAATAGTAGAAGTAGTATCTCAGGATTTGTGACTATAATTTCACAACATTGACTAATTTATTGACTGCTTGTCGTACAGTGCAGGAACAGAGGACTCAAATGCAAGACCTGACACAGTGGAGTAAAGTTAAAACTTCTTTTAATACACTGTGGTCAAACACCAATAATCCGAGGCAAGCAGCAAAATGGAGGCAGGGAAATGTCCACAAAGAAGCAAGATCAAAAAATTGCTAAAAAGGCTAATTTCAAATCTAAAAGGACTGGAGGACTTGACTCAGAGGACAAAGACGAACTGGCATGGGGAAGCTGTATGAATGAGAAACAAATACGCCAATAAACACAAGAGCATCACAAACTCCAGGTGAATCACATTAAGGTTTGGCACATCCTGATTGCAGAGAAGAGCTCAGGAAGTGAAGTGGTCTAAAATGAGAAATTAATACAATATAAAAGAGGAAGTGAAAATACTGGTGACACAAGTAAACTCAACTGGACTGCCCCTCACACTGCTCAGCTTAAATATAATTGCATGTGATGATAGCTTTTTCAATCTCCAAATTAAAATGCTTTGAAGAAAATAACCTCTTAGTGACATTATCTGTGAATGTCATCACCCAGACCATGGTCAAGCTTGAAAGGTTCAGTTAAGGTAACTGGATGGGAAGTTTTCTAGAAGATGTTTTGCCTCTCATCCAAGAGGCTTCTTCAGTTCTAACTAGTGGTGGGAAGCACTGAGATTTATGTACTCTTGGTGTAAAAAATAATTAGGAGGAACAAATGGTGGCTCTGATCCCTCCTACCGGATTGGCCATGAAGATCGTCTGGCAGGTCACCTGACACTTAAATGAGGCATATGACAACTCTGAAGAGGGAGTTAACGACCCATTAGAACCCCCTAACGACCATTAACCCCCCCCCCCCCAGTGGATCTGCATCATTTTGATTTTGGTTGGTAAGAGGTCTGCTTTTTTGTTCTCGTAAAAATAGCCACAATCATTTTTTTCATGTGCTGATCCAAACAACACATTCTCAAGTGCTATTCCCTTTCCCAAACAATAGAATGTGGTTTAAAGTGAGTGAAGCATGTGGGTGTGATTTGCTGTGAAATTGACTTCGTTATTAGGGAAGGGTTGGCTGGCGGGGAAATGGGTAAAAAAATCCCTTTGAGGAAGGGACATTCAGACATGAACAAACTTCTGACTATTGATTCTGCAACATTTCATATGTTTGTAAGAACATTTAGACACTTTTCTTATGTTATCCATATTTTGCCCAAAGCTAGTATGACTATGCATGATAAACAATTCAGCATTAATTATTACTAGACCACAAGCAAACATCACACAAGAGAAAGAGCCTAAACCCCTTAATTGATCTTAGCAATAAATGTAAAAAGTGAAAGAGAATACTTGATTAGTTAAACAACTGATGCTTGAATTGTTCGGCTGAAAGGGTGTTTAGTTCCTGCTTAGAAAATTTATATATCCTAGCAACCAGACAAACATGAAATTGTTTTTCATATCTCTGCAGCCGCTGTAAATGTGCGTAAAAAGAAAGAAGGATAAGCCAGGAGTTTATATTCAAATTTTTGGCCAGGGGCATCAACTACAGACCATTTTAAATCATTTCCACAAGCTGATAATCTCATTCCTATACAAACCAAAGCACAAACAGCACTTGCTGGAACAGAGAAACATTTTTTCGTTACATTGGTACGCGTGCCAGCTGGACACTATTCTTTTGCCTCCAGACAAGGTCGATGTGGGAGAGAAAATAATCCAATTGGGGGGTGTCAGACAGTGAACATGAAACAAGAAATGAAAGATGGCAGCAAGAGAGATTTGTGACTGCAGCCTTGTACAAATTAACAAACCTATGCTTTTGAAGCAAACCTTACCTTCCTGAAGAAGTGCACATTGTTCCTGATTACCAAGTCCCTTCTGCCAGTTTATCTACTTCTCTATTTGTCTGAGTAGATTTACCGATCCTTTGCTCATCCTGTGCCTGATGACTTGGTAAGTGGTCTTGAAATTAATTTGGACTACCCACCTTTTGCCATTCTTTCTTTTCTACCTCATCTGCTGTTTATTCACACTGCTTTAAAGGTTTATTGGTTTAAAAGATTACTGGCAGATGGAGAAAGCGTGCTCACAAAGATGGGTAGAAAGTGAGAATGCAGGGCTGACCGTTACTCTGCTGACATTGTGGTGAAGTCATTTGACAAGCTATCTTACCTGAAGTGCTAAACTCCTGACATGATCAAATCCCCAAGAGGATACCTTGCCCCTCCTGCTGGCAGGGGATAAAGTGGCTTCATCAAATCTGATACAAAAAACAAACAGTGGTAAGCTCACTGGAAAGAAAAAGAGGTTAAAGGCAAATAGAATATAAGTACATTTTAATACTGAGCTACTTTGTTGTTATCCAACCCTAAAACACAAAGAAAAAATCCTAAAGCCTAAGTGCACATCAGTTCAATTCTAGGTTTTTACTTGAATCCTCTGTAGAGCGAGGAAAACATGATATTGTTTTGGTAATTAAGCTGTTTGTAAAAAAAAAAAATAACTTTGAACATGTCGTTGGTTCTTTTTTAACTAAAATCTGAATTTTTCAGATTAAAAAACAACAACAACAACAGAAAAAAAACAGTTCCATTTCTTCTTAAAGGGAGGAACTGATGAGCACAAAGTCTCTCTCCCTTTTGGGTCTTTTTCTTATTTTTTTATAGAAAATAGAACCCTTGATTGTAAAAAGTCCTAGTGAGGAGTTTGTAAGTCATCTAGGTCCAAAACCTGCAAACATTGCCACCACCATGTACAGTAGTAGCCATTCAAAATGTCCCCACTTTCCTTGATGGGCCCTTGGATGGTCCCCTACAAATCCTTTTTAAAAATCAATATTTGTACAAAAATATTCTTATATTCTCTCTAGCTGTGAGCTAGAAAGAAATTAGCTGGGAGTAGGAGGGAATTGGGCTGCCATTCGGCTGGTGTTTGACAAGGAAGGGCCATTTTGAATGGCTGCTACTACTATAATAGTCTATTTTTTCACCTTAAAAATAAACATATAAACGAAATATGAAATGTGATTCTTCAGTGGCTCTGAGTTAGCAATATTATTTTGATGTTTTAGGGTAAAATGAGCTCCACAGTTTGCACAGGTATTGTTTAACTTTGAACCCCCACTGGACCCACTTTGCTTTTTAGCAACTGACTTCCTGCCTGAATGAGCTACTTAAATCCAGATTGATGAGGACTTGAAGCCTCAAGTGTCAAAAATAGACCCACATTTTGGAGAAGCGTCCACCAGCCCACAATTCTGGCACGCTTTAAGGAATCTCCGCTGCACTGAAACACTCTGGTTGACAAGAGTGGTTTCAATCAACCTCAGCAGGGGGGTGTTGATGCTCCGCAGCGTTAACATGTTTAGTGGGACCCCAGGGTAACACTGGCACCTTAGTTACAATGATATACTTACAGTTTTGTAAAACTAAAAAAACATTTAAAATAGCTTCAGGAAAGCATCAACACAGTAGGTGAAATAATCAAGTTATTTGTGTTTCTTTGCAGCTGGTACAATAGTTACATTAATGAGGAAACAATAAAAAATCTCAATTTTATATATAAAACAAAGTGTGGAAAAATACACAACAGATAGCCTGGGTAGGATTTTCCTATAGTCTCCTGGGTGAAAATCATGCATGCTGACCAGTCAACCAAATGGGAATTGTCAGAGACCCATTGTGGCGTTGTAGTGTGTCCTGTGCCACTTGCGAGGGCACAGGTGGTTGTGCCATCACACTGCAATGGTGCCGCAGTTTTATTAGGGGTAATAAAAACAAAAACTCTCAGACCACCCCTGCAGTTTAGACCTTCCCTAAAGCCAGTCTGCACCTGATAATGACTGATGTCAAGACAAGAAAGTTCAAAACAAGGCACATTTGTAATGCTGCAGAGAAAGGTTGGAGCAGGACAGCTATTGTAACAGCAGCTGATATTATGGCTCAGTTCCTCTCGTCAGTTCAATACAGACCTGATTTGATAGTTTTATAAAAAGCAACTTGTATTGAAAAGTCTTTTAATGTGCATCCCCACATAGGGAAAGTCCAAGAATGGAACTTCCCTCACGTAAATGTGTAAACTATGTGATAACAATGTTCTCAATGAGTATCCTCCAGAGAAATCCAAAAACTTAAAGAGAAATGCATTCTTAATTTGTCACAAATACCTGTCATATCTCAGCTTCCATCAGCTGCTGTGAAATAAAAAAGCGTTCTGCCAACAGGACAAACAGGCAGTTTCTGCTTTTTTGCTCTTTGAACTCCTGACAGTGCCTCTCAAGGAATCTGATTGGCTGTTTGTAGCAGAGAAAGGGCGATAAAAAGGGATGTGACACTGTAGTGGAAGCAACCTCACAGCAAGTTTAACAATTGATATCATTGAGTCAGACACACAGAGGGATTTTTCTTTTTAAAGTCTAACTGCTTCAGTGGAATACAGAGTAGAGCATATGGAGACAAACTACAGAGAAACACTGCAGGCCGACTTTGATGCATTTGATATATCCGAAGAGCTTGGATTTATTCTTGAAGAGCCACTGGTAAGATTCTCTGTCATCTTTTCTTTGCTGAAATGCCAAAGACTCAACAAATGCTGCTAGAATAACAATATGATCCACTGACAAGCAGAGTTAGTCCTTAAACTTTTAGCCTAGAAACTCCTTATGTCACCTTAATCTAAGTGCTTGGTTAGCAGCACGTGTAAACCCTGCAGACGGAACAGATAAGTTTCCCTGTTCTTGTGAAATGTTAAAGAAGGTTATTGATCTGATGGAGGCCTATTGCTCCTAATGTCTGTTGAACCTTTCACATGACTAGGCCTGTCCAGTAATGCATAAAAATAAGTTTATTAGAAGTGACAAATTTGGACATTGCTGTTCTAAAAGAAGTAACAGTGCCTCATTAAAGTTTCATTCCATGTTTTTCAAATAACAACCGCAGACTTCAGTGCACCATCTTGATATTTTATACTCACCAGCACCGAGTAAGGCATAGTTTAAAACATGCTTTATTATTTAAACGTTACGTTTGCATTTTCAGTCATTCTGATTCCTCTAAACAATTTGAAGGTAAAAAGTCTTAAAAGTTCCCCAGAATAGTAAAAAGAGTTTATTCTTTATAACTGTCAGCATACACTTCAGCCTTTGGAGACAAAGTAATCCACCTAAACTAACAGGCAAGGAATGCATTGATCAGAGAAGCATCCAATAAGCCTTCTTTACAAAGTGTCACAATCCAGGTCCAAAGCAAACATATGGAAAACTGTGCTCTGGAGAGATGGGACCAAAACTAAGTATTCTGATCTAACTAGAAGAAATACAGGATGACATTGGATAAAAACTTTTAAGGGCTACAGAAGACTTGTTAGGTTAGGTTCCAGCAGGACGCTAAGCAATTCCCTAGAGCTGGAATGAAATGGTTTAGACTAAATACATTTATGTTGCAAGATCTGGTTAATTTCAAGTCCAGATCTTAATCCATTTGAGAACCTTTGGCATGACTTGACAATGTATGGCCCTATAGACTATCTAACCAATGAATCTGAATCCAAGCCACCTTCAATGACACAATCTCACGAGAATCTCTAAGGAGGTAGAGACATACCACAAAAGATTTAAAGCTGTGATTGTAGCAGGTGCTTGTCATTATGTCCATCATCTCAAAAAAATAAACAAAACATAGATATAAATTGCAAAAAATTCATATGGATATGATTACTTTTGTTTGGCACTGTATTGTTCATTCTTAAAGTGATTAATCCATTATGCTAAGTGTTTAATCTCTTTGTACAGCACAAAATAATATAATCTTCTTTCCTGAAGACTAAGTAAAAGCCTAGTCTTTGATTATAGAATTGTACCCTCTGTAAATCACTGTCTCTTAGTTGGCATATTTTCACTTACAGTATTTAATTTTTCTATGTCTGTTAAACTTCTTATCATCTGTGATTGAAGGGTTAATAATCAATGAACATCCTTGACACACAGTCAGAAACAAAACAGAAAATCAATGAGCGACTCATTTTAGTTTTATCATTTTCCAGACTCATCTCCCAGATTATTATCGGGTGTGGTTGGACTTGGCAAATAACCTGACACAATTGATTGAGTCTCGTAAACTGCGAGAACTTGTCCATAAGGTAAGAGCAAGGTGTTTTAATTAGAGTTCAGAACCTGCACTGTCTTGGTGCATGGAAAACATGAAAAAGGGAAGATAAATACAGTGTTTGCTGTCATTAAAAGGTAGTTATAAAGTTTAATATGATCTTCATTCAGATGCCAGTTTTGAGTCCCCACCTTTTAAATAACCACCGGGAGCTTAGGCTGGCCCACCTTGCCCTGGGGTTCATCAGTATGGGATATGTATGGCAGGAGGGACAACATGAGCCTGCACAGGTAAAGCACCACTGCACATGAGAGCGATAGGGGGAAGTCTACAGTTCATTTACTGGTGCCATTGGAGGGTGAAACATGGCTGAAAGCTATACATTTATATCCCAACCAAAATTTCTCAAGTGCAACGGGATTTATTAGAGGTAAATATTAAAGTGAAATGCCTTATCTTGTAATAATGTTTAAATCTACTGTTGGTTACAGTATGCATTATTGTACGTGTTAACTTCTCAAAATAAAAATAAAATCATCAGTTGTAGAAAAAGAAAGCAGAAGAAGTTATAAAGATGGATAAAGGGATACATTTGACAGCTGAGAGGAGGACTTAAACATAAAAAAAGTAATGAGAATGAAGAACTGAAACACAAATTGAAGATGTCATATTTTTTTAACTCTGTGGTTTTATGTGACAAATTCAAAGTAAATGTGAAAACTTGCAGGCCATAGTTAGTAAGAAAACAATATTAAATCAAAGGTGTCATCAGGGTCAGAGTTTTGCTATGGGAACAACCTACTCTGCGTATTGGATTTCTATGTATGGATTGAATCAACTGAACCAACTAAAATGACTAATTGGGATCCTCAAAAGCATGTGGTTTTGTAAGTGACCTTTTTGACTGAACTTTAGAATAATGATTGTTTGGCAGATTCTCCCCAAAGCCCTGGCCTGGCCTTACTGGTTAATATCCCGCAGACTTGGCCTTCCACCAATCCTGACCTATGCAGATTCAGTTTTAGCCAACTGGAAATTAAAGGATCCCACAGGGTAAGTAATGTCTTTTTACATTTCTAATATTACATTGGTACTTTTAGATGATTTACAATAATAATCAGGAATGTCCCAACTAGATTTATTTTCTTCCTCATTACCCATCAAAGTGAATTATTACGATTCATCAAAATGTCAATTAACTCACTCACAAGTGACGTAATAAATATAGTTTTCATAGCCTATGAATTGCTTATTTTCTTTTCAACAGCTTATGACCTGTATTGCTAGAACCTTTTCTACCTTTACACAAATAGAAATTGTAATGACTCTGTTTTCAATCCATACAATTAGATTAAATATCAGTTCACCTTTTTGCAGCAATATCAGAGTCAATGTTTTGGAGAGGGTTTTCCTCAAGGAAAAAAAAAAAAAAAAAAAAAAATATCTATATCTATATCTATATATATATATATATATATATATATATATATATATATATATATATATATGTATATATATATATATATATATATATATATATATATATATATATATATGTATGTGTATAGGGGAATGTTTTTAACCAATCTTTCAAAAGGACATTTACTGTAAGTGGAACTCCAGAATACCATAATCATAACTTTATACTCTATCCAGTGAGGCACATACTTCTGTGTTGACAACTGAGGCCCAGGGACTCGTCCAGTGGATTATTGGTCTCGTTTCTCATCAGATCCACATTGTTGTTTTTTTTGTTTAGTTTTGTTTTGAGTTTTTACTGCACTAGTGGCTCGTTATTTCTACAGTAGGCTGACAGGAAAGGGGGTATGAGAGAGGGGGAGAGATATGCGGCAAAGGACCACAGGTCGGATTTGATCCTGGGTCGGACTATATATATATATATATATATATATATATATATATATATATATATATATATATATATATATATATATATATATATATATATATATATATATACACATACAAGGGATGGAACGGTTTATGAAAACCGTCCGAACCGTTCGGTTCGCGTGTGTTGCGTTCATAGGCGAAGCGTTTACACTCCAGAGCAGAAGATTGCGGTACTGCGACCAAAGCCAACCACCAGTAGTAAACAAGAAGAAGAAGCGAAGCTGCTTAGCCGGGTGTAGAAGAAAAAAATCAGTTGTTGTGGAGGATTGTGTGGGTATGGCGAGTGGGAAAGAACAGGAGTTGGAAGACGCGCCAGCAGCACTTTATAGGTCGGCTGTATGGGACCACTTTGCATTTAGAGTGACCTACGATGACGGCGGAAAGAAAGTTGGGGATAAAAGTGCAACAGTGTGCAAGCATTGTGCAACACGTTTTGTTTATGCTAACAGCAACATAACCAACATGTCAGGCTAACCCCGAAATCCCACATACTCCGTCAGCGCTCCACTGCGCTGCACAAAGCAAAGCCTACAGCCTCCGCTTTGGCTCCCGTCCGCTTCGCTCTGAGTTTCTTGGAGATCGTAGAGGCCATGCGAGAGATGATTAAATTCAAAGCAGCAAAACATGCGGAAATGAACCATGGTTTCTGCGGATCATTAAAAATAATTACAATTAATTAATTTTTGGGGATTTTTTCATTAATTTCATTAATTTTTATTTTTTCAATAATTTATATAATTTTTTTTTTTTTGGTGTAACAATAAACATATACCGAACCAAACCAAAAACCGTGACCACGAAACCGTGAACCAAACCGAACCGTGGATTTTGTGAACCGTTCCACCCCTAATATATATATATGTATATATATGTATATACATATATATATGTATGTTATGTGCTGTATAACATCGTAAATGATAATCCAATGAAAGTGATCTGTTGATTTCTAAGAATGGAAGTCTGAGCTGGTAGCATGATACATCAACAAAGAAAGAAGTCCCTTTACTTTCTATTTCAGGATTGCAGGGATTTTGGATTTGGTGTTTAGATACATGAAAATACACTGACATTGATACTATGTTCTAAAAAGGCTTAGATATTTCAAGCCAGTAGTTTCTTGCGATCATGTTGGTTTGTTAAATTTGCACCTAAAATATTGCAATAAACTTTCACTTTTCTTTTAGGGATATGGAGATTGGGTAAGTCTAACACAAGTTCCTGTTTTCACAATCTCCATATCCACGCGATATGGAGATTGGGTAAGTCTAACACTTGTTTTTGTGATTTAAGTTTACTCATTATTTATTATATTTTGAACATTCTTTTCACAAAACAGGAACATGGACTTGATATTTTCCTTTCCTGGAGGGGAGAGTTGCAGGGGATTTTTTACGGTGTCATTGCTAGTAGAAATGGCTGCCAGTACAGGCATAAAGGTCAGTGTTTTTCTGTCTGACTTACCTTTTATCCTTTAGCTCTTGAAACCTTAGACAACGCATCCATCATTGAAGTCAGATATTTCAATACACTGTATAAAATTGAGGTTTCATTTTTTTCTCCTATAACCGACATTAAACCAGATTAAACGTATTCTTCTGCATATTAATTACTGTGGGATGAGCAAAAATATTTCCATTTGGTAAAAGTCAAAATGTTAAGAGAATGTTTTGGAGACTTTTTATATTCAGAACTTTAGATATATTTCATCACTAAAGCATTGGTAACATATAATTTAAAGCTATATCGGTGATCAAACTTTTAGAGATTCCTTCCATTATCCTTTCACAATGTTTTATTGTAATTCTGTTCCCTTACCTTGACAGAACCGATATAACTTAGTCAGGTTGAGAGACCTTTTATTGTTCTCACACAGATTTTTAGCCTTGCCTACATGTAGTCCCCTTATAATTGAGTCATATCTTTTTGTTTGTCAAACCTCCGCTTCAGTGAACACTAAGTTCAAAGTGTATTCCAAGTGCTATCTCATCTTACCTCTCTTGATAAAAAATAAATAATTGTGCTTTTTAAACCTGGATCTTGGACATTTCTTTATTATTTTCACAACTTTGCTGGCAGGTGCTAACTTGCATAGCCCCATTACATTGTTGCTTACCTATCGCATTCACGTGCAAGATTGAACATTCAGTCAGGTTGTGTTGTAACTTTTAATATCTATAGACAGGCTTTACTTTAATAGAAAACAAGTAAAAGCAAAGTGTAAAACATAAAAATAACAAATTATAGGTCAGCAAGATGTCGTTGCTTTATTACAAGATGTTGTATGCAACCAGAATGAGCTACTTTACTGGCATATACATTTGAAAAGTTATATAATGAGACTATGCCCCTTTAAGCCACATTAACTAAGTAATTTTCCAGCATGCTTGGGGCTTGCTGTCTCTTTAGAAGAGCAATTTCCTGTCCAAGGTTTACATTTTGTTAAACGTCTTGAGATGTTGATTTGGCATGTCAACATGCTGTTCATTCCTTCTAATGTAAACTTAAGTGTTCCAGTTCCATTTGCAGCAAACATTCATACATTATAATGCAGATAACCACACTTTAATATATGCATGATGTTCCAATGCTTGCATGCTTCCCCTTTTTCTCTCTCAATGTAGAGTCAGATCTGCTGACAATAAACTTCAAATTTAGTTTTCATCGGATCATAGAACATGTCTCCATAAATAAAGTTAATTTGGGTTTTCATTTTACTTTAGGAGCTGCTTCTTGATAACCAAATCTCATTCACTTGTTTCACTGTAGATGATGACTCCTATTCACTTTAACCAGCTTTTATTAATTTTTTTTTATTCGCGGTTAACTTGACTGTTCTGATATCTTTTTTTCATTTCTTTTTTTTTTTTTTTTTTTCCCATGGTGTCATAAAAGTTAATAGTATGTTTATCTTTAAAATCCCAATTGATCTAAGGGGTATACATTTTGTATGCTTGAATCCCAGGCAAAAAAACACATGGTTGTATTTTTGTATGTATGTGTATGCAAAATCTGCTTTCTATTTTCTTGTTTTATTTACTTGTTTTCTAGAATTGCATTGCTTTTCTCATGTAACTCAGCAGTTGATTTTCTAATCTTTCAACTTCAACCAGGGGGCCCTGGAGGTAATGCACGCCATGAAGATATCAGACCTAATCGGCATACAGAAAGGACTAAACAAAGTAACACAGTCTTTGAAGAAGATGAAGGAAACCTTTCAACTCATGCACAGTAATTTCCAGTTGAAGCTACCGCAATATGAATTTAATAATTTAAATTGCCTTGCCTTTTAAGAAGGTAGCAAAATTGAGGCTAATTAAAATAACCTGCTTTGTGCTCGATGCAGATCACGTGGAGCCAAACGCATTTCATGGAACTTTGAGAATTTTTGTCTCAGGGTGAGTTATGTAGCTGTTCTAGTGTCCCAAATATTCATGTTATAATTATTTAATTTAAATTTTTTCCTCATTTAGTACCCATTCCATTATTACCCTTTAATTCAGTCCAGCTGATGTGCCTGTCTTTTACTTCACTATATCTTTTAATAAAAAAACACCCTAATGCCATGACAAATAAGCTGGATCTTGACCACACTTAAAAAATCTTTAATACTTTTTAGGTGGAGAGATAACCCAATGCTTCCCCGAGGTCTGCTGTACGAAGGTGTTAGCAATGAGCCTATTTTGCTGTCAGGTGGAAGTGCAGCTCAGAGCTCAGCCATTCAGTGCTTTGATGCTTTGCTATGCATTCAACATGAGGGTGAGACAGGTAAAGATGCATTTAAATCTACTTTAACCTGATTAGATGCTTTTCATTAATCTGTGAAGCCTGAATATCTCCCAGGTAAGGAATGTGTCCCGGAGAGGCTGTTATCTTTATTCTTTCTGTTTCCTCTGTGTTGTTTTCATTGATTGTCCTGTCTAGGAGCCTTCCTGACACGCATGAGAGATTACATGCCCCCTGCACACCGTCAGCTGATTGAAACTCTGTCTGTCTGTCCGTCGCTACGAGATTTCATTACGACCTGCTCCAGCTCTGACCTGTGCCAGGCCTACAACTCCTGTGTCTCTGCACTGGTGGATTTACGAAGCTATCACCTAAATACTGTGGCCAAGTATGTCATTGTACCTGGTAACCATGCCAGATCCATGGGCTGCCCTCTCAGAGGGGTAGGTACTGCCCTCAACAGCACTGGAACTGGTGGCTCTAATCTCATGGTCTTCCTCAAGAGTGTTCGTAACACCACCCAAAGAGCACTGATCTTAGAAAGACCAAAACATCAAGAGAAACATGAATGGAATGCTGCAAAATAAAATATAGACAATACAAAACTATTTTTATAAATTGTATTTATGAAGAAAATTATCAAAAATATATATTTACAAGTATCTGCAGGAATTTTCAAATGTGACAGTTATATTTGTCAATTCTTGCCTCAGTGAACTCTTCATGCACTGCAATACAGATGGACGTTTGGAGCATCAGAGGTAACTGTTATAAATTTCAAGAAGAGGAACTGAACAGCTGAACTTCTCATTTAGCAACTGTAAGCTTGAAAAACAGCATCAACGTCATCCCAGTGGTATGACCACATTAAAACAGAGCATTTTTTTATTGCTTGCGCTTAACTTGGGCTGTTATTTTCTCAAAGCTTATCCATTGCAATGTACTAAATATAAACCTTAGAGAGCCTCATGAATTAAATTCTGATTTGAAAGCAGATTAATTAATTCTTAATAAACAGCCTTTTAATTTGTTGTCACTTGAACATATTTATGATCAAGTGCTGCTACAGCACAGACATTTAGGCAGTAAATGTTTTCTATTGTCACTTTTTTCTTATTTGATTATTTTAAAAAGTCTTTGAGACTCTGGTTTCTAGCCTTGATCAGATTTTTTAAAATTATGTTTATGCATTTAGCAGGCGCTTTTATCCAAAGTGACTTACAAAGTAGACACAATGTTACAGTTATCATCAATATGACAATAGGTTCTCTAGAGAAAAATCTCTAGTGGAAATCAGTGGTGAAAATCATGACATTTTATATGCAGAGGCTTTCAAAATTTTAAAATCCTGTGATATACATCTTGCAAAATTCAGTGCCATAGTTCCATCTGAAGAAAAGTAAACCATCGGCATGATGCTGCTAAAATAGGTCCTCGGTTGTGCTGTGTTTATTCTTTGCCCAGGATACCTTTAGGACAGAGTCCAAAAATCTCTTTTCTTTTTGGATAATAACACAATCTTCCACTACATTAGCAGGGGTTCGGAAAGCCTTGATGATTTCCTTACTCCAGACAGAGATGAAAATACAACAAACTGTTCTCGCAAAAACAAAAGATCTTTCACAGTTTTCATCACCTCTTGAACTGTTGCTTTTGGCCTCCTTGCATCCTCCCTTGTCACACATTAGCGCTTTATTTTAATAGACAGGGAGATTTGGTCAGCTTGTGTAAGTTCCCTAATTTGTTATGGTATTGGTTAATAAAATGTAGATATAATGCTGTGAATTTTTATGCAATCTGTCTTTGACTGATACCTTTGTACAGTATTTTGAGTCTTAGTAACCTTTCAAAATATGACTTTAGCTAAAATCCTAACAGAAAGCTGTTTTACCACAGTTATACTTTATTTAATTTTAAACAGATCATACATAATTAATTCAGAAAAAGTACTCTTCCCACCCATTTGGTTATTGCTGCCTTTTATTTTTTAAATGTTGTCCTCTAATAAATGTGTTTTTCACTGGAAGTGCGCAGAACAATTGTCACATTAAAATGGTTGCTGTTGAATTTTTTGAAGAATATTTGCAAATATTTAACATCATTACTAATACTTGCATTACTTGTGGTATAATATTCGCAAGAGCTGGTTGAGAAAGGATTAAATCTTCTGAATTGTGGAGGTTAAGTAATTATTACAAGCTGGTAATACTCATGTATCAATCTGTCTTTTCAGCTGATTTAACTCATCAGGTATTCAGTAGTGCTGGGATAATTTTTAAACAAAGATCAGACCTGGGATGCAGATGATGTAAATAAAGACTCTGACTTATTTACTTTTCCAACAAGTTCAGGGTTGCATTAAATCTTTCTACAATAAATAAAGGAACTAAAACCCATGATAGCTTCCTAAAACCTTATGAACTAGTTAAACTACTAAACTAACTTTTCAAGGAAGAAGTTTCAATTATTAAATTCTAATGTTTTTACTCCACATAGAACAAGCATTAGAACAAGGGTATGCACAAGTTTGATACCTGATAACCAGTGTTGGGCAAGCTACTTGTCCATTGTAGTGAGCTAAGCTATCAGTTACTCAACAATAAATTAAGCTTCACTACACCAAAGCTACCACCTAAAGAATTATAGCAAGCTAAGTTACACTAATGTGTTAAAAGTAGCTTAACTACAACAGAAGCTACTTAACGTTTTACCAACCTAATATCAATTCAAAATGAGTCTGATACACTGGTTAAAATATTTATTAAAGATCAGCCAATGACATAACACAGTGTAAACATTGCTTTATGTTCAGCATATTAAAATAAAAACTGAAGTAATTACTAATAGACAAACTAGTAAACAATCTGATGTTATTAGAACCAAATTAAAGGTATTGTGTAGTGTTCTACATATCGAGACATGGCTATGAGTTTGCATTCAATGGACATCTCTAGGGAAAACAAAACCCTACAAAAGGCATCTTATTTCTTTAGGGTCTCCCTTAGAGAAAACTTCTTCAGACCTCAATTAAACAGTCAATTCAAGTAACAAATAAAACTGTTTACAAAAAAGGTGAAAAAATAAAGAAGCTAATTAAGTGATACATATATTTATGTCTCACCATATAATTTTATTTCTACCTACATATTTATTCATTGTTTAGTCATTGTTTTTGGGGGCAATTAATTGAATGCTTATTTATTTATTTATTGAGCATTTATTTATTTATGTATTTATTTTATATACGGTAGAGCTGTTCCTCCATAAATAAAAAAAATCTTATCTGTGCAAAGCCTAAAAACAGGTTTATGTAAACATCCTGTCAGGTAAACTAGGCCATGAAAATACAATATCGAGATTTCACTACTGCTCTCTAATTAGAGTATCTTAGTGGCACATATGGGAGAATTATCCTGCCATAATGGAAGAGCACATCATTTCAATTTGAGAAAAGAATTTCATCTTCCTGCACTCAAAACTTATAATGCTCACACTCAAAACATGGGCTCTCTCTCAAATATTTTCTCTTCTCTCTTTGTTTCTTCTCTCAGATTTAAGGCTTCTTGCACAGATATTTTCTCCTCTCGCTTGCCTCCGTCTCTTCGCGCACAAACCGCGCTCTGCACGAGTCTCAGATACACTCGCAGACCCGTAGGCTCTGCTTGCGGATTTTTTTTTGCTCTCTCGGACTGCAGTTGGAACGTCGCCTAGGAACCATTCCAGCCAATAGAACGACAGACTCGGAAAGGGTGCGCTTGTTTAACCCTACTGAGTGTGCCTGTGCTACTACGCCACTTATAAGAGCATCAGCTGAAACTGCTATTTACAGTAACTTGTGGCTGATTGTTGTTTCAAAATAGAAAACCTGGTTTCATTTCTTAGTTATGCCCTGGATTTTGTAGCGTTTGTGGACGCTACGTCGCTACTTGATCAAAACAATAACGTCGCTACAGGAAAGTTACTTCATAAATAAAGCAGCGACGCTACGGTCAAGCTACTGGAAAATGTATTTAAACTAATAGCTTCGCTACATGTAGCGCTGCTACTGCCCATCGCTGCTGATAATGTATGTAAAATATCACAAGTGACTGAAAGATTTTACCTTAATCTTGTTATTTTTGACCTGTTGTTCAATAGAGCTTCTATTAAGTATTGCAGAAATTACAACACTGACCAAGTACCCGTAAAAAATTAGGTAGAAAGTAGAATGATAAAAGAAAAACCTTTAAAAAAGCAAAAAAATATATATATATATATATATATTTTTATATATATATATATATATATAAATAAGAATGAAAAGAAGACACTGTTAAAATAAAAGCTGAAGCAATATCCTGAGAAGAATGAAAGAGACAGAACAGTCATGATAAGGGCAACGGATAGATGCAGGATGGGGTCATTCAGTTTGATGGACTGGAACTGCTTGCTCCCCTCCAAGACTTGAAGGTTGTTTCTTTCCTCTCTATTGCAGACTAATCTCATTTGAAGAGAGCAGGGAAGGAGCAAAACTGCTAAGCCCTTGTCATGGTCTAGATCCATTTCACTTATAGAACAAAAGTCTAAAAATGTGAATAAAGCTCAAGGCCCCACAGCAGTAAAGAAAGGTTGAAATGTATATATATATATATATATATATATATATGTTCAATTCCATTTCGAGAACGAGATCATCTGTGGTAGTAGCACTAGACATCTTCCAGGCATGTGAGTAAAACTAGCAGCAGTTCAGCGGACAGGATGAATGAATCGAGCCGGTGCACGCAGATGACGTCATATACATTCCGCACTTGTTTAAAAAAATTATAAATATAATAAATAACCGTGGATCTCTGGAGGACAGTGATTCGCCTACATGTTATAATAATAATAATAATAATTAATTTTATTTGTAACGCACTTTACATTTGAATTCAAATCTCAAAGTGCTACAGTTCAAAAAGGAAAAATTAAAACAAGGTTAAAAGACCATAACATTAAAAACAGAGTAAAAAGACAATCATTAAAATCAATAAATTTACACCCAAAACATGATTAGCCTTCATTTTCTACTCACCCCCATGCTGAACAACACTCTGGAGTACTTTTTTGATATCTCAAATGCATCTGGAGATCTGGGAGGCTTCTTGCTGTCTGCTGACATTCAAATAATGGAGGTCTACGGTGCCCGAGACAGAAAGGTCCATAAAAGTCCACAAAAAACTTGTCAATATTCCTCCATACTGCTCGTCCAATGTATTCCAAGTGTCCTGAGTGGGTAGCATCCAGAATTTACTCGAAACAAAGTCATTTAGAATGTTTTTAGAGCATAAACAGTAATGTATAGGATTTCCTGAAAGCGCGAGCCTGCACGTTCACGACGCTACGGAAGCCGGCAGACCAAACCAGATGAAAGTGCGCATTCAGCGTCTGCTCTGCCGATAATGCAAGCGTAGAAGAAGAAATGTGCTGTTTACCTGTGCAAAGAAAGAAACAACGAAAGAAAAATGTCTGATGACTTCAGTGTTGAGAAAGAGCATGAGTTCTTTGCCGAGCTGAATGCGCACTTTCATCCGGTTTGGTCTGCCGCGGTTTCTGTAGCGTCGTGAACGTGCAGGCTCGCGCTTTCAGGAAATCCTATACACTACTGTTTATGCTCTAAAAACATTCTAAATGACTTCCTTTCGAGTAAATTCTGGATGCTACCCACTCAGGACACTTGGAATACATTGGACGAGCAGTATGGAGGAATATTGACACGTTTTTTGTGGACTTTTATGGACCTTTCTGTCTCGGGCACCGTAGACCTCCATTATTTGAATGTCAGCAGACAGCAAGAAGCCTCCCAGATCTCCAGATGCACTTGAGATATCAAAAAAGTACTCCAGAGTGTTGTTCAGCATGGGGGTGAGTAGAAAATGAAGGCTAATCATGTTTTGGGTGTACTATTCCTTTAAGCTGCAGGAAGTTTTGACTCATCCATGCCTTTATATCCTCCAGGCAGGAGCTGAGGCGGGTGACAGAGTTGGCGGGGGAGCTGGGGGGAGTCATTTTAATGTAAAG